ACAGAACAGAATTTCCCACCCTCTGAGAATCCCTGTTTGATTCTAGCTGCCTCCTTACTTCTGTAGAGTAGTTGTGAAATAAGTTACCTTTGGCCATGAGTCATGATTTCTTGGGTAGCATTAATTCAGCTGAGTGTATTAAACATTGACTAATGTATTATTGTCTAGAGACTTGAACTCAAAGGGAGTTCTAAAGCTTTTGTTCTTAAAATGGGAAATAGTGTAATGCTGTTAATTTTCTGGACTTAGAAATTGAGAATTTAATAACAAGGTTACCATTAAGACAGTTGGCAATACTATTATCTCTAAAAGTAAAGAGAGAATTTGTTAGATTATGAAAATGATCCATTAGAAATAGCATGAAGTCACTAAAGAGATACAGGATTTTCAAAGCAGCCCACCTAGGTACATGTATTAAGTATTAAGATTCCAAAAAAAAATATCTTCACTAAATTCACCCATTTTGACCAAGTGAATAAATTGTTTCTAGCAAAAGCTGTAAGTGCCATGTGAGGAATATCTATTGTAGTAGTAGTCTTCCATAACATCATTTTCAAATGGTTACAGAATACTAGTAAGTTTATATGGCAGTGACAGCATTAGAGAGTAATAGCAAAAACTGAGGAATGTATTTGAAGTAATCAAATTCTTACATCCAAATAATATAGTGTACCAATAGAAGAGCATATACATAAAGGGCTTGATAGTCATCATGAAAATATTTCCAGTTGTTTAACTCTAAGGAAAGAAAGACCTCAGAGGCTTATGAATTATGAAGAAGAGATTGATAATTTATTCTCTAAGTCCATTTGGAGAAATAAATTTGAAAGGTAATATGAAATAGTTAACAACAACATTGATTAAACACTGGAGAAAATGACTAAAGGAGGTTATAGAGTTTCCATTTTAAAACGTGTGGGAGAGAAGAATCAATAGTCTTAGCTGTAAGTATTTGTCTGCCTCCATATGAGAGTTTTAATCAAAAGTGAAAGTGTTCATTTAAACATTTATCTAATTGACTGGTTTGTAAAACAGAGCCATAACTCCACTTTTTGTTGTATTTTATTGATTTATATTTCCATATGTAATGCTTTTTCAGGTGATGGGCAATACTAACAGCTCAACTAAAATATATTAAAAAATATGTTTTTATTAATTTCAGAGAGGAAGGGAGAGGGAGAGAGAGATAAAAACATCAATGATGACAGAGTCATTGATCAGCTGCCTCCTTGATGCCCGCCCTGCACTGGGGGGTGGATCCTGCAACCGGACATGTGCCCTGACCTGGAATTGAACCCTTATCGCGTGGTTCATAGGTCAGCACTCAACCACTGAGCCACGCCCGCCAGGCTCAACTAAAACTTGAAGAGCTTCATCCCATTGTCATTTCATAAAGACCTTTATCCTGAGTTAGAGAGTTCAGGAAAAATAATTGAAGATTGAATTAAGAGTCTCTAAGTGCTATTTTTTTTTTCCTCTTGGTTGGAGAGGGTACTAATTCAGAAATTGAATTTCAGTTGGGCTTGGAATAAGGTGATGAAGATTTGGCAAGGTGTAACAGGATAGAGTAGTGTCTTAAAATCTGACTTGCAAAGTCAAAATGCAACTTACTCTCAAATGTTTCAAAAAAAATTATAAATGTGTAGATAGCAGATATATACAGAGAGAATGGATAATAAAGCAAGTGTAGGAAAATGTTAACATTTGGGGAATATGGGTGAAGAGTATATAGAAATTATTTGTACTATTTTTGCAACTTTTTATAAGACTAAAATTATTTCAAAAGAAAATGACTCTTATCCACAATCATTTCTTGTTACCTTTCTCATCTCTTTCCTAGCATGTTAATGCAGTCCATAAAGTATTTTGCGTTTGACTCTGATTTCTCTTTTCAGTTTCTTGCCATTTTCCTGGATGACTTTAGTGTCTTCAGAGTTAAGCTTTTTATTACCCTGAGTCCTTGATTTCCTCCTCTCCAGGTACCTTCACAATCAGTCCATTTCATCAACCCATTCCCAGTTAAATCACATACTGGACTTTGTTCTTACATGTTGCTCATTTTAGAAATTTTGTATTCAAATTATTAGATCAGTTTGCTTTCTTCAATGTATTACAGAGTCCTTGATGGGGGAGGGGTATGTGTGTCTGTTTCTTTCTTGTATTTTTGTGTGTTTTTAAAAAATATATTTTTATTGATTTCAGAGAGGAAGGGTGAGGAAGAGAGAGACAGAAGCATCAATGATGAGAGGGAATCATTGATTGGCTGCCTCCTGCATGTTGGACCGAGCCTGCAACCCAGGCATGTGCCCTAAACCAGAATCGAACCTAGGATTCTTCGGTCCACAGGCTGATGCTCTTCCCACTGAAACAAGTCCCAACCAGCTACGGCTTGTTTTTGTTTTTCTAGTATTTGTCACAGGACATATCACACTATAGATTTCCCATGAATTGTTAAATTAATGAATCAATAGAGGAGTCAAACTTTCTATACAAATGGTTGAATTCTGATATAGAATAATGCAATATGGCAGAGTAGGAAAGCACTGAGCATTCAAAGAATTGAAGCAGTATTTGCTAAAATAGTAAAAAGAAAAAAAAAGGCAGACAGAAAGGGAAATTTTATAAATCAGCCTTGTTTTCTGTAAAGTAAAATCAAAGTCTCCATAGGAGAGTATGGATAGTCTGATTTGCAGAGCAGGCTCCAAATGTCTTATGAACAATTAGAGTTAGAAATCTAAAATGCTGAGCAAAAATAGAAACATCCAGAATTAATCAGAGCCAAATCACACAGTACAGGATTCCTAAAAAATATTAAACACTTAGAATTGAAATCCAGAAGTGGGTTAGGACTTGTTGAGTTCATTTTAATAATAGTAAAAAGGGTTCTAATTACTCCTGTACAGGAGGGACCAGCAAGGAGTCCTCTTATTGGGAGCTCCCACCTCTTCTCTGACTTTGAGGTGATAGCAGGCCCAGGTGTAGTAGAGGCAGTAAGTTACCAAGAAATCAGCAAATCACAAATTTGACATTAGGTAAGCTGAAGTAAAGTTATAATTGTAGTAAGCAAATAGCAAGCATAGATATAAAGGATGGGGTAAACTAAACAGTAGAAGGTTAGGAATAAAAACTGAAAGAAGAAAGACGCTAAACTAGACTCAAAAATGCAGAGGGAAAAATATGGGACAATCTGCAGATAATGTAAAGTTTGGTACGAAAATCAGGTCAGAGAGTTAAGACTTAAGATTCTGAAGCAGTTGGTATGGTGTTGGCATAAGCAACTGGGAGTGATTTATAGCTGGCATATCTTTTTACTTTTTGATGGATCTTTGTGCCTCATAACTGGAGCATAGTATAAGCCCTAATGGTTATTTTTTGATATGTCCCTAGGGACACTTTTTGTTATCTGATATTGCTTTCAGTAACTACTTATAATTTTATTTGAATTACAAGTTCTCTGTGAGTGGTGAAAAGCATGGTTTGTTAATGATTTATAGTGGTATTCCTGAGAGCCCATTTATAAAACTCTCATTTCAGATTTTGGGGGTTACATGCAACCAATACCAGCCTTTTCTAGAAAAACAGCATGATGAACATATAAAGCTAACCAAATACACATTTTGAAATGTCAAGAAGCAATAAATTATCTCCAGAAACCTATAATTGTTATATTTTAAACCAAAATAGAATATAGTGTAGGAATTTTATAGATATCTTCTAGTATGTAATTATGATAGCACATTTTCCTGATTCATTCCCCCTAAATAAAGTAAAATCAAAAATAATTTACTAAAATGGTTTCTAATCTGGCTTCAGCCACCAGAAAGACAATGTCCACGACATGGAGTTTATGACTGGCTCTAATTTCAGCATATATAACATTTCCTCTTAAAGAAAGAATACTTTGTGAGAAGTACCTTATCTATAAATTCCCCATTTTGTTTTTATTTTAAAACTACTTTCTCTGCCTCAAAAGAATTTTAAATTTGGCTGGTTGCAGGTGGCATCACCAAGAAGCAGATGATACTTACCTGCTTTTTTTACAGTTTTGCTTTTTAATGTTTTGGTGGATAATAAAGTTCTACTTACAATCAGTGTTTGTGCCTCGTGATCTAATTTACTGGTGAAAGTGTTTGTTTTGTGCATTTGTGTTTGTGTCATTTTCTTCCCCCCCACAGTAAGATATACATTATTCTTTTGAAATAGCTATCATTTACTAGTTACAGCTTAAGATAATTTTTATGAGATAGCAAGGCATTATGAAACAGATCCTCTAATGTATAACATGTATCTGATAAAATGGGAGTTAAAATAATTCTAATATTCATCTTATAATATGATGATGGTTACAAAAATAATAGCTAACACTTATTGATATGCCAAACACTAGGTCAAGATTTTTGCATGTATTAACTCAGTTCATCCTCACAACAACTGAGATAATTTATTATGTTCCTATTTTAAAAATGAGACTGAGGTGTGGGTGTGTTTTCTTGCCCAAAGTTATGCACTTGGCAAAGCTGGAATTCTGATTCAGACAGTCTGATGTTAAGAGTTCCATGCACAATATCACTTCACTGTCATCACTAACTTATTGCAACCTAGTTTTCAAAGTTTAGGGGGAAAAAAGTAATCTGAAAATAATACCTCTGGATTAATGCTTTTCAAGTTTGATTGCATGCTGGAGTCATCTGATCACTCCCAGATATTTTGATTTCATTAATATAAGATGGTCTGGGCTATTGGATTTCTAGAAACTCCTCAGGTTATTCCAACCCAAATCCAGTGTTTAAACCACTGTCCTAAATGCTTTCTCACTGTGTGCATGGAAATATTCATGGCAGAATCACACTATTCATGCTTATGTGATCACAATAGGAGCAAGACTAATAAGTATATGTTTAAAGCTTTGAGAGCATTTATTTCCACAAAAATATTCATTTGAATGATTTAACATGTAGCTATGGTGATTCTTATATTATGTGTGTTTTTATCTTAAATAGCCCAAAGTCATATTGAACATGAGGCCTCAGGGAGAAATAAAAGCACACAGCCAGATGAACAACTGACTGAAAATTCTAAAGGAAGCAAGCATCAGAAATGCAATGAATTAGTTAACGAAGCCACATATGAGGACACACACCTGCCAGAGCAGAAGTCCAGGAATTTTCCTCATCCAGGTGGTGAGGCATCGCACTGCATCACTGGAAAATCCAAGTGAGTGCCAGCAGCCTTAGATCCAGAGTGTAAGAACTGGGAGAACTCCTTTCGTCTTCCTCCCTCACTTCATTCTCCCTTCTTTATGGTGTGAGCTGAGTTTGATATATCATTAACATATTAAAATTTGGGGAATCTACCAGAGCTTTCTACTGTTTTGCATTACATCAATATGACATATCTAGCTCAGCGATTTTTAACCTTTATCTTCTCATGGCACACACAAATTAATTACTAAAATTCTGTGACTCACAAAAAATGTATTTTTGACAACATGACAAAAAAGGTGTAATTGTGATTCACTCATAATAGACAACTATTGGGTTGGTTGTCATTTTTTTATTTACATATTTTAAAAATTCTATGGCACACTGACTAAAAGTCACTGGTCTAGATTGCCAAGTGAAAAAGCACAAGATGAGTTTGAATAAAGGCCATGAGGTCTTATTCTTTTTAGTTAAATATTTTCTGTGATCTTTTATTATGGATCTGGAAATAACTGTTGAGTTGATATTAATGGGATTTTCTTTTTAATCAGTCCAAACCTAGTAGCTCCAAAACAAAATAAGCCCAGAGATGTGGTTTTGGTTTCCATTATTATTTATTTAAATGAATTTGAATGTTTTTAGAAAGGCCTTGTATACTTTCATTTACCTTTATTATTTTACAGTCTGCAGCTTTTACTTATTTATCTTCCCTACCTATCCATGAAGGGATTTGAACTTGTGACATTTGTCAGTTTTACCTATGGGATTAAGGTTCTTTCATAATTAGTCACTTATTATGAAAATACTACTATTAATATATTAGAAAATTTCAGTGACTGATATATTTTCAGTTCAGATAAAATTTTCTTTTATAAAATATCTATAATAATAAAAAAAGCATAATATGCTAATTAGACTGGACAGATGAAAGACCTTCTGGAAGTCCTTCCTGATGACCATCCAGACAAAGCTGGGCCTACAAGGGCCAAGGCAAGCCGTCATGGCTGTGAGGGCCAAACCCCTTGAATTTCATGCATCGGGCCTTTAATATTTTCATAATTTTACACATGAAACAGCTATTTCTATTTACTTTAAAATTATTCAGTAGATATATAGATGTACCAGTTAATAATGCGGATTAGTTTTCAATAGATGGAGTTACACATATGTTGATATATATGTGATTTGATATGTATGCCATTTTATTGTATTGACAACAAGCTTCAAAACTTTATATGTCAGATTTTCTGAAGGTATTAACATCATAGATATTTTTATGCTTAAAAATGTCGAATTTCATGCCAAAAAAAAAGTATTGGTGGGAAGTTTTAATTCATTACTTTATTTTGAGGAAAAAGTTATCGTATACTTTGGGAAGCTTATGGTGAACATGCTCCATCTCAAGATATTTGTGAACTCTGGTTTAAATGCTTTAAAAGTGATGATTTCGATGTGAAAGACAAAGAATGTCCAGGTCAACTGAAAAAGTTTGAGGACCAACCATTACAAGCATCATTGGCTGAAGATATATGTCAAACTCAAAAACAACTTGCAGAAAGATTAAACCTTGCTCAGCAAACAATTTCTGATCATTTACAAGCAATGGGAAATATTTTAAAAGAAGGAAATGGGTGCCACATCAACTGAACAAAAGATAAGTGAGAACGGAAGTCATCAGTAAAACGTTGCGTCATCTTTGCAGACACCACCTCCCAGCCACGGTGAACCGCACCCACCGTGCTCTTCCACAGCAAGCCCTTGGGGCACATCTCCTTTGAGCTGTTTGCAGACAAAGTTCCAAAGCAGAAAACTCCAGTGCTCTGAGCACTGGGGAGAAAGGATTTGATTATAAAGGTTCCTGCTTTCACAGAATTATTCCGGGATTTATGTGCCAGGATGGTGACTTCACCAGGCGGCAAGTCCATCTATGGGGAGAAATTTGAGGATGAGAACTATGTCCTGAAACATATAGGTCCTGGCATCTTGTCCTTGGCAAAAGCTGGACCTAACACAAACGGTTCCATTTTTTATCTGCACTGCCAAGGCTGAGTGGGTGGGTGGCAAGCACGTGGTCTTCAGCCAGATGAAAGAAGGCATGGATATTGTGACAGCCATGGAGCGCTCTGGGTCCAGGAATGGCAAGACCAGCAAGAAGATCACCATTCCTGACTGTGGACAACTCTAAGAAATTTGACTTGTGTTTTATCTTCACCACCAGACCATTCCTTCTGTAGCTCAGGAGGCACCCCTTCACCCCACTTTACTTGGAATGTTCTATGATCTTTGTGCTCTTGCCAGTTCATTTAGTTCCATAATTTCCTTACCTATTCCCAGTCTAGCTGGATTGCAGAATTAACTTTCTGATTATGAAATAAAAAACAGTTGTCTGTCAAAAATAATGTTGCTTTAATGGCATGAAAGAAAGTCTTTTTTTGTATCGAATTGTGACGTGATGAAAAGTGGATTTATTTGGAATATCCCAAATGCACAAAATCATGAGTTGATCCAGGTTAACCATCAACATCGACTGCAAGGCCAAATTGTTTAGGAAAGAAGACAATGCTCTGTGTTTGATGGGATCAGGAAGGTGTGGTCTATTATGAGCTTCTAAAACAGGTGAAATAATACTGATTGGTCCCAACAAATAATCAATTTCAACCACGTTTTGATTATAAAATGACTAGAATGGGCCAGAAGACATGGCAAAGTAATTTTGCTTCATGACGCATAATCACACTTTAAAACCAGTTAAAGGCATGTTAAAAGATCTTGCCTGGGAAGTATTAACCCACCCGCTGTATTCACCAGACCTTGCTCCTTCAGATTGCCACTTGTTCTGATGGAAGGCACACACACTTTCTGGGCAGCACTTCAAAATGTACGAAGAAGTGGAAAATTGGGTCTCTGAATGGTTTGCCTCAAAACAAGAAAAGTTCTGTTGGGACCGTATCCACAAATTACCTGAAAGATTGGTAATTTGTAACTAATGATAGACATTACTTTGAATAAAGCACTTTTGATGTTTCTTTTGAAATTATAATTTTTTATTACAAAATCCTCATTAACTGGTACACCTAGTATTAATATGTTCCTGCCACTTGGCAATGAGTTATATTCTTACTGAAGTACAGGTTAGAGCACATTTTGGGGGAGTAGGGGTGAGTGAAGAGGTGACAAACATAACCACATGAGAATAGTAGAGGTGGGGCTAAAGCCAGAATGTGAGAGATTGAGGACAGTTTCAACAGAAGATGCACATGGTAAGTAGAGCTGCACTGACTGTCCCAGGCCTCACTGCATACTTTCCTTTAAAAAAAATATATTTTATCGATTTTTTAGAGAGAGAGGGAGGGAGAGAGAGAGAGAGAGAGAGAAACATCGATGAGAGAGAAACATCAATCAGCTGCCTCCTGCACACCTCTACTGGGGATGTGCCCGCAACCAATGTATATGCCCTTGACCGGAATCGAACCCGGGACCTTTTACTCCACAGGCTGATGCTCTATCCACTGAGCCAAACCAGTTTCGGCTCATTGCTTACTTTCTTCTGAGAGACTCTAAGATGTAACTATTTACAAATAAAATGCCATAAAAAACTGCCCATTGCTTTTTTTCTTCCCTTGCTTTATACTACCTGCTAATAAATTGACATCTTCTCAAATAGCATGCAAAATGTAAAAAAAAGAAAAAAAAACCAAAAGAGATGTTTTGCTTACTGTTAAATATTACAAGAAAAAGTTTTCATATTTAATGTTTTAAATTTAATGAAAATATTACACTGTCAACAAAATTGAAAGAAAATTCTGATTACTGTTCTCACTTTAGGAAAGTGAAAAAAGTATCTAGTCCTGACCAAAAGTACAAATCAAATTAATATTCACAGCCCCTAAAACCTGAATTCTTTAAGTACACAAAACCATGAGTCTCGATAGATGTTACTAAATGCTTTCCACAGATTTACCTATTTCTATTGACAGAGTAAAATCTCTATGAAATTGATATATTTATTCTTTTCATCCATAGGATTTACTTAGTGCATAAAAAGGGAAACTTAAAATTAAGTAACTTTATATATTTCTTCTTAAAATTAAATTTGTCCCTCCCCATTTGAAGGGTAACGTTTATAGGTCCTGCATAGTAGAAATTATATGCTTATGTTGTTTAATAAATATTTTCTTTATTGCAGCAGTATGGAGCATACAAATAATGATTTGCATTATGAATGTATGATACCTGGTCAAGTTACTTCAGACTTAGATAAAGAGAATACTATTACATTTCTTCAAACAGAATTGGACATTCTCAGAGCAAGCCATAAAAAGGTACCTTATAGAAAAACCTAGTAATTGTACAGTGTTTTGCTGTTGACTTTCTAAACTCGCTTTGCTATCCATCACAGCTCAGTTTTACGGTGCGTTTTTATGCTTTAGTAGCTTTAGGTTGTTGCCATATCATGCCATCAGGCTATGATTGAGCTGAGAGATTGTCTGTAAACAGCAATTTTTTGGTTGTCTGCCTTTGCTGGGCTGTAGTATCGCTTCCTTTGTCATAAATCTATGATACTTCAAGTAGATACATGAAAAAAAAAAGATCAATTAAGGTTTTACTGCAATAAAACTTTATTTCAGTATTTTGGAGAATGAGGAATTCAATGCACAACTTTTCTGGGTGTTTTTTTTTTTGGAGATTATATATATATATATATTATATATATATATATATATATATAATATATATTCATTTTTTAAAGGGAGGAAGGGAGAGGGATAGAGTTAGAAACGTCGATGAAAGAGAAACATCAATCAGCTGCCTCCTGAATACCCAGTAATGGGGATGTGCCCACACTCAAGATACATGCCCTTGACTGGAATCGAACCTGGGACCCTTCAGTCCGCAGGCCACCCTCTATCCACTGAGCCAAACCAATTAGGGCAATAGCTTTTCTGTTTTTATTAATGTCTTTGCCCTATATTTCACCTCAAAAATCTATGTAATTAAACTTTAAAGTACCAGGGTTTGGCAATATCATAATTTTTTATTGTATACTGCTGTATTTTGTCCAATCCAATTTGTTCTGTCACATTGTACCTTTTCTGACTCTGTTTTTAAGTAACATTTCTTTGAACATTAAATACATTACTAAATAACTAGAGGCCAGTGCGTGAAATTTGTGCGCTTAGAGGGGTGGGGTCCCTCAGCCTGGCCTGCACCCTCTCTCAGTGTGGGAGCCCTTGGGGAATGTCCAGCTGATGGTTTAGGCCCACTCCTCATGGGGGGGAGGAGGAGTGGGCCTGAGCCATCAGTTGGACATCCTTAGTGCCACAGAGGCAGGAGAGGCTCCCGCCATCACCACTGCTCACCAGCTGTGAGCCGAACTTCAGGCTGAGTGGTGCTTCCCCTGTGGGAGCCCACTGACCACCTGGTCGCAGCTCCTGCATTGGGCGTTTGTCTCCTGGTAGTCAGTGCGCATCATAGTGACCAGTCGTTCCTACTTTCAGTCAATTTGCATATTAGCCTTTTATTATATAGGACGTTCACTTTTGTATGCCTTTTGTTTTTTTTAACCTCTTCACACTTGTCTGATTTTAATATTTCAATATTCTAGTTGTTGTTCTATAAAACTGAAGCATGATATTAGGAATGTTGCTCATATGTGATGGAAATCAGCACAAATGACAAAATCTGAGGGAGGAATATAAAAAAAAAACCAAACCACATTTGGAGGGATTCCACGTGAGAGCTGTAGATATTTTCTGTACTTTCATTTAGCAGTTATTTATTACATGCCAATATGAATCAGGTGCCAGTGCCAATCTCAGTGGATTATGATGGGCTAGCATTCTCCAAGGGAGATCAGTTTCAGATACTAAGATTATTATCTAATTAATTTTGTTTCAAAATATTAAAAATACTAAGAGGAGCTAAAAAGCTGTGCTGTCCATTATTTATTTAGGAGACTCCCTCCCAAGTCTTTGCCTTTAAGACAATAGAATTGATCAGATTGCTTTTTGCTGTATTTATTTTTAATAATTGTGTTGTTCCCTCTTTAATTTTATTTGCCTGAAAACACACACACACACACACACACACACACACACACACACACACACATAAAATGTATATCATAATGTTTTTATAGTTTTTGTCATTTCCCCTAAACAAACAAGGGGAAATAATGATTATTTTATTATTATAAAATACCTTCAAACCTTAAATATTGTGTGTGTTTTTTACTCCCTGGAGTTATGTATTTAGGCAGTTAAATGTAACATGTTTATATTAGAAAAAAACAGAATTTTACTTTGAGATTAATTATATTTGTGGAAGAAATTTGTCAGATAAAAATCTATGTGTTCCCCCCCCCCCAATATGTTTAAGCTTCAAGAAAAACTGTCTAAAGAAGATAGAGAACAGAGAAAACTAAAGCTTAAGTTGGAACTCTATGAGAAAGCAACAGAAGCTCAAATTGCTGAGAAGACAGCAGGTATGGTAGATGAATTGTAACATATAGCCTTAAGAAATATGCACAAGGTTATTGTATTATGTGGCTTGGTGAATACTAGCAAACTAGCTATTTGCCAAGGGAGGGAAGCTCTGTCCTTTTTTTTTTTTTTTTGGCTGCTTAGAAAATAGGTGGCTTTAACATCCTGGCTCTGGTATTAGTGAGAGCTTTACCTGTATTCATACTGATTTGGGCATTAAATGCATTGTTAACACCATGTCAATCCAATCACAAAAAGGTTGTTTGTTTTGTTGGAAGGGCCTGAACAAACAAGGGGAAATAATGATTACCAGTGGCTCTACCTTCCAACCAGCAGTTCAGATACCACTTACTGTCTTAGCTCTTTGAGAGGAAATACTTCTCCTTTGTATGAAGATAGCAATATATCCATTGCCAGTTAAAACCTACATTTCATTTGAAAATCTGTTTTGTGCAATTAATAAATCTTTATCTGATAATGTGGATGATGATAGAGGTAATGTTTTCTCCGAGCTTAAAGTGAAAGGTTGCCAAAGTTTAAGATTATAAACAACTCCCTTAAATATATTTTGTGGTCTATATTTATTTACAGGTCTTTGTGAGGAGAACATTTTTAAGTATGTCTGTAGTATATTACAAATGTGATCAGATGATTGTTAATAATTATGATCTCTCATCTATATACACATATATGCCTCTGTGATTCTAACTCACACTGTTCTAGTGTATTAAGGAAAGAGAAATTTCATAGAATAATAGCAATTACATTGCAGAGGCATTTTAGAGATTATTTTAACATTTTTATATCAATTTAGAATGATTTTAAGGAATAATTATATTTTGTGACTAATCTGAAGTTATAATCATACTTTATAAGCCAATTAATCTTAGTTGCATATATGAAAAAATTATGATCAGAGACATTAGCAGATATAGTCTGTCTTCAAAATATTACTGTACAGAGTAGAATTAAATATCACTATGGAAATATAGGCAAAATGACTATAAATAAATACTCCAGCTAAATATCAGATGATTATTTTTCTGTTAAACTACCATGATTTTTTAGGATGGGGAAAATAAGGGAGTAATGTATTTTAAGGAAAATTAACAGTATATTAAAAACAAATGATATATATATAAATTCAAAACAATTTGAAAGTTTCTTGGCTGTTTACTAGGAAGATATTACAAGAGATACATTTGTTTTAAGGTGCTTGCATCATAATTTAACTTTGTATGTGTCTTAGAGAAGATATTTAATAAGATTTAGGCCATTGTGACTGAAAATTATGAATTAATATGTCTGCATAGCTCTTGGAGGGGAGGAGTCATAAAGCAAAATTTTACTTTTTAAACTTTTGTATAATGTAACTAATCATATGCTTCAAATATTTATTTATTGGCATATATTTAAGGGTTCCCTTTGACTAAATTATGAATCAGATATGCATTAAATAGGAAGAATTTGATTGCTTTATGATTTTTATTAATCAAATATTTATCATTAATGATATTTTAAGGAAATGTTAAAGTTTAGAAACATGTTTAGTATGTTTTTATAGCCTCCTAAATTGATGAAAATAATTATGCTATATAGTTTCTCTGGATAAAGCAATCTAGTTTTAAAAAAAGATGACCAATCACTTAAAGTATAAATTTTTAAAATGTATCTTTACTTTATAACGTTTCAGTTCTAGATTAAAGATGCTTTACTTGTGACCTTAGAGAGAATTATTATTGTAATATGTGAAAATAAAAAAATCTGAGTTGCTCAAGAAATCTTTGGTTTGAAGCTGCTAGAAATTTATTAACTGACCCTTGGTAGACTCATTAATTTTTTCATATTTTTTCATACATACTGTTGTAAGTAGCTTATCTTCTACCTATAAGAGGCCAGAAGGCAAAACATCATAACATAAAACAACTATGTCAGTACCTTAACAGAAAGGGGAGCATTATAAGACTATAGTTACATATTTTATTTAGTATGATAAAATCTCAAATGGTTGCCCTAGCCGGTCATATGAAAGAATAAATAATCAATGGATGTTTGTTTCTATCACTGATCATTTTCATATTTGAAATAAAAAGTGTGTTTGGTAAAGTAAATTACAAATATGCACATACATCTAAGTATTATAATATACTTAAGCAAGATGTAAATATCTTAAAAGTCAAGGTATTTCACATTAAAAATATAAGTGCAGAAACATCCTGAACTACACATTGGAAATTGCAACTGGGACACAAATATAAATATATGTCAATAGGCCTTTCAAATAAAATTTTAATAAAATGCAGGTACTGAAGGAAATAGTTTTTTTATTTGAACATATAAAGTATAAAGATTTGTATATAAAGAAATTCATATATGAATGTTATTACAGGAAGAGAACCAAAAATCAATCTAATAAAAAGAGAATGGTTAAATGAATGAAGGGGCATTTACGTGAGACATGGAGTAATTAAAATAATTTGAGGCATGTTTGATGAGATGAGAAAATGTTTATGATAATAGTAAGAAAAAGAAGTAGGGGAAGATTGTATTTATCATATAATAAAATATATATATATGAACAGGGTGTCTCAAAAAATTGCTAGCTCAATTTTGAAAATGGAATGCATTTTAATAAATATTGCATTTATAATTATTCGAAGTGTGTGCATACATTTTGGGGGACACCCTGTATATGCGTGTATAGTTTATGAAACGAGAGGCAGCCCTGACCAGGGTGCCTTCGTTGCTCCGCCGTCATTCCACACGTGGAAAGGTTGCAGTTCACTTCCCAGCTTCAGGGCACACGCCTTGGTTGCAGGCTTGATCCCCTACAAAGGGCACGTAAGAGGCAGCAGACCTAGTATCGCTCTCACTTGATGTTTCTCTCTTTCTTTCTTAAAAAATAAACAAATAAAAAAATAAAATCAATAAAAAAGAGGCAAATTTTGGTAGTATTAATGGATACATTAATGTTTCAATCAACAGGTTTTCTCCAGTGAGCATGGATTAGATTTTGTATTAGAAAAAGAAAATTTTTAAAAGATGTGATTTTTAAAAAAAAGTTACTTGCTTTCTAATCTTAAAATAATTCCTGTGGATAAGTTTAACATAAATTTAACGCATGCCATTTTTCTTTCATTTCAGATTTGCCCCTTATTTATTTTTGTAACTTATGTACATATTAATCATCTTCCCAGCTGAATGTATAATTTCTAAGAATAAGAATCTTGTATAGTCAGAACCACATAAAACAAAAGGTGCCCAGTTCTGTCTGAGGCAGAATGTAGTAATGGAAAGACTAAAAGCCTTGGAATCAGATTGACCCAAGTTTTGATCACAGCTTTGACTTAATAAGGGTAGACTTTGGACAGGTTATATCTGGAATTTACTTTCTCCCATGTAAAATGTGAATACTAACTATTTAATTTCCCAGATTATTTTAAGGATTAGAGAGAATATATAAAAATACCTAATATATACTCAGTAAATTATAGGTAATATTAATATTTGATTATTTTTATCTTTATGACATTCTTAAACTTTTGATAATGTAAAAAGTTTTGAAATATTTTTTCTATTTAACTTTTAATTAAAATTAATGTTTCACTGTTTATTAATAGAAAAGTGAAATAAAAAAATTGGAAATAAAAGATTAGATGATGAGAATAATTACTGTTGAGATATATGTATTTATTAGTACCAGTGCGTATTATTGTCATGTGAATCTGAAATAAAATAGATGGGATACGGAGAACCTGGGATGTAATCTAAGGTGTATCGATGATAAACCTTCATGCAGACTGTTGTGTTAACAGGAAGCCTATTTCCTTAGCTTCCCTGATGGTTTTCACATGATGTGAATTCTGTCATTCGAATATGATCTCCTGAGAATTTGAAACAGTTGTGTCCTTTATTATAAAATCTCAAATGGTTGCCCTAGCCAGTTTGGCTCAGTGGATAGAGTGTCAGCCTGCTGACTGAAGGGTCCCAGGTTCGATTGTGGCCAAGAGCACACGCCTAGGTTGTGAGTTCGATCCCCAGTGGTGGGGTGTGTGTGTGTGTGTGTGTGTGTGTGTGTGTGTGTGTGTGCAAGAGGCAGCCAATCCATGATTCTCTCTCCCTATTGATGTTTCTATCTCTCTCCCTCTTCCTTCCTCTCTAAAATCAATAAAAAAATATATTAAGAAAAAAAAAGTCTCAAATGGTTAACCCTTTTACCTTCCCCTTCTTTACTGACATCACCATCATCATTGACTGTTTTTATTAGGCACTGTATAGGAACTGTGCTAACTTTTTAAAAATTCAAACAAGAAATATCTATTGAGGGGTTGTTATGTATTAGGCACTGCGTTAGTGAATGTACATCAGCAAATGGACAGATGTGTAATTTCAAGCATTCTTTTGTGTGCAGTCACTTCTTACTCATAATAGTAAGAATAATGAAATTATTCTTTGCAAGTAGGTGCGGTTCATTGCTCACACTTTCGATTCAGACCTTTGTTTTATTATTGTTGTTTTTAGCTCTTGTGTAAGTTACAGCCTTCCTAAACTTTGGCTAAACCCTACTTTATAGGTTGCTGCGACGTTTAAGTGAGATAATGTTTATGAATGCTTAACCCATTGAAGGCACTCAATAAGTGGAAATTATGATAAGATGATGATATCACTGTCTTGTTTTCTCAAGATTTCTTGATCTAAGAGGTGCATATTCAAAGTGTAGTTAATATAAGTAACTGTCCCACAGCTATTTATGTACATTTTATTTATGAAAAAATTGATATATATTTCTTTTAAAAATAATTTAAAATATTTTTATTTTATTTATTCTTTGCAGTTTTTAGTTTTCCTTGATTTTCAGATTTAATTTTATTTGTAAAATTAGAAAATATGAAAATCATGGTTTTAATTTCTACAAAAAAGAAAATAAGAGAAAAATATATAATAAGTTAATCTTCTTTACTTAACAAAAACTGAAATGATAAGCTTGTCCCCTATTTGTTAG